AGCCCGGGGAGAGGGCGACCCAGCCAGCCCCCCGCCTCCTCTCCAGCCCTCCCCTCCCGGGTGCAGGGTTTCCTCTCCCGCCCGGAGCGTCCCCGTCTCCATGGAAACCGCTCGGGCATCCCGAGCTCCCAGCCGCGCGGCTCCAGCTCCGGCCCCGGGTCGGGGAGAACCCGCAGCCCCGCGCGCGGCGCTCAGTGAGGTTTTCTTCCTGCGGCGCGGCGCCGGCAGGTCCCCTCTGCCTCTCTCTAATCCCGCGTCTCGGTTCTTTCCTTGCTCCACCCTTTCTATCTTTCTCTCCTCGCGTATCTCTTCACACCCCCTCCTGGGCTAGTCTTCGTGCTCACCCTGCGCACGTCCCTCCCGTTCAGGTCTCTCTGCATTTCACGTTTATTCACCACCCCTCCTCCTCTTCTCTGTATCTCTCCCTTGGGCCTTTCCTTTCTCTGGCTCTCCCTCTGCACATTCTACATATAAATTCCGAGTGCCAGGCACTGTGCAGGGTGCTGGGGCCCCTGGCGGGCATGGTTTCCGAGCTGGGAGCAGAGCTGTGTGGAGACGAATAAAGTCAAGTCCTCACGCAGGGCTCGGAGGGAAGCAGACTAGGTCCCGAGACCCTGAACAAACGGCGCTCGGAGGCTGGCGGGCCCCTCTCTCCCCATCTCTCTCTCTTTCTCTGCCTCCTGTGCTCTGCAGGGTTTTAGGTGGTGGCTGTGTGGCCCCTAAGGCAGCTCTGGGAATGGGAAACATCAGAAATCAAGCAAATGGAGGACAGCAAACCAGATGGGTTTCCCTGGACTTCTGGGAAGAGAGGAAAAGACCACTAGGGACAGCCTAAACCGGGAAATGAGGCTCAACCACCAGGAGACGGAATGACTACAGGCGAGGCAGCCTTCAGCGTCCCCACCTGCTGGATGAGGAAAGCCAGGCTGAGGCCTTCGGAGGTCAAGTTCAAGTCTCGCTGGAAAATAATCAGCTGGCTGAAGAGAAGGCTGCTTCAAGCAAGGCACAGGCGCAGGGGCAGGGTGCAGCATTTCTGACGCTTGGCCTGATAATTCTTCATGGCGGGGGGCCATCCTGTGCATTGTGGGATGTTCAACATCATCCCTGGGCTCTACCTGAGGGACAAAACTGTCCGTGGTTGAGAGCCACTGGTATCAGGGAAGGGACACGTCTAACCAATTACCTGACAGCCCACTGACTTAATCTGCTCCAAGAAGTCAAGAGGTGTTGTGACAAAATTGAGATTAATGATATTAATATTATTAATAACAGGATTATAATGTTAAATAATATTGAGTGCTGAACTATGTGCCAAGGTGCTAAGCTCCTGACATTCATGATTTCATTTAATCCTACAAGAAATTCTATGAGGTGGGGAAAATTACCGTCTTCATTTATAGATGAGGGTACTGAGGCTCAGGACCAAGTATCACATCCAATTCCACACAGTAAGTGGTGGGATCTATGTTCAAACCCATGCAGGTCTTAATGTTTTTCTTTGAATAGGCTTTTTTTTTGGTTAATCATCACCCGAGGATATTTTTTCCAATGCTTTTTAGAGAGTGGAAGGGAGGGAAGGAGGGAGACAGAGAGAGAATGAGAGGAAAAAGAGAGAAAATGAGAGAGAGAGAGAGAGAGAGAGAGGAACATTGATGTGAGAGAGAAACATGTATTGGTTGCCTCCCCCACGAGCCCTGACTGGGGTTGGGGATTAAACCCAGGTATGTGCCCTTGACCGGGAATAGAACCCATGACCCTTCGGTGCTTGGGCGACGCTTAACCATTGAGCGACACCGTCCAGGGCAGAAGGCAAGAGTTTCTTGATCCAGATGCTATTTACATAGGCATGGTCACTTTGCAGAACTTCTCTGAGCTATAGACCTGATGATTTTTGCACTTTTCTTGAGTATGTTATACATACAGACTTAAAGAAAACGGCTGCATACCATTGTGTGTAATAAGTAAACACTGGAAATAACCTAAATACCCACCGATAGGTCAGTGATTAGAGTGCGCCCATGCCGAGGCACACTAGGCAGTCATAAAGGGAGGGAGGGAGCTTTTTATGTGCTGAG